GTATACTTTTGGTATACTTAGGTGGACTCAGACTGAACTTAACACCCTGAATACAAAAGTCCGCACTACCATGACGTCCCATATGATGCATCATCCGAGATCGTCGGTAATGAGGCTGTACTTGCCGTGAAAGCATGGTGGGCGTGGCTTTCTGAGCACGCTCACCATGCATAATCGCGAAGTGTGCAGCCTCCGTCATTACTTCCTGGCGAGATCGGATGATCCATTCTATAATGACGTCATTTGGGGTGATAAAGGGCTTACTCCTCTATCCTTAGCCAACGAGCAATGGCAGGACCCAGCAGTGCTTAGCATATCCGACCGGGAGACCGTATGGAAAGATAAGGAGCTCCACGGGAGGTACTACAGGGCTCTACATGAACCCTTCGTAGATACAGTCGCCTCCCTCAACTGGCTACGCTTTGGTGACCTCTTCGTTGAAACCGAGGGTCTGTCTGTGCAATACAGGATCAGGTTATTAAGACCAACAACTATCGGAGATACATGGCAAAAGGATGGCACCGTCGACGTTTGTCGAGCATGTCATCTCTGGTTGTTCGGCGCTTTCTAACTCTGAGTACTTGCACAGGCACAACCTAGTAGCCAGAATTCTACACCAGGAGCTCGCTCCGAAATACGATCTCGTGGACCAGAAATTGCCGTATTACAAGTACTTGCCGGAAGCCGTGCTTGAAAATAACCGCGCCAGGCTCTACTGGAACCAGGCCTACACCACAGACAGGACTATTCCTGTGAATAAGCCTGATATTGTGCTGATGGATCGGGCACAGTCAAGGATATTTTTGGTCGATATTACCATTACGTATGACGAGAACCTCATGAAAGCCGAAACAGATAAGCAATCAAAATATCTGGACCCGGCTCACGAGGTGACCGACATGTGGGGTGGTCTGCCGACCGAAATTATTCCTGTAGTCGTGTCTGCAAACGGGTTAATTGCAGACTGCGTTCCGGGTCATCTGAGGCGGCTGGGACTCCGCGACGAACCGCTCTGGAGTCAAATGCAGAAGGCGGTGCTCCCCGATACCGCCCGCATCGTCCGTCGGTTTCTTTCCCTTTCCCCCTAACACTCGGCCGTTTGGTCTCCCCTGCCGAGGGCTTCTTATATTTATTTATGTATTATTTATTTATTTATGTTAGTATATTAAATATATATTTATGTATATTTATTAATTCCTTTTATATATATATTCAGCCCAACCAGATGTGAATACTCTATCAATAACCCCCAATAATAAAAATCCAAGGATTCAAATTACAATCTGTAGAAGCAAGCTATCCTCAAGAGGTCGTATTACAAAGAAAGATCGACCTCTGGGCATGGAGGTTAGAGAGAAGGAGAACGATCGCTACGTGCTAAAGCTTTGTAATAATTTATAATATTTATAATAATTAAAATTATAAAAACCAAAATTTATAATTTATTTATTAATTAATAATAATAATAGTAAATAATAATTTGGTTATTTTCTTTTTTTTTCTTTGAATAATATTATAATCATTTAAAACTAGTGCACCACAGCCCGCTTTTATTCCATGATATAGGTACTGATCATAGAGAACAGGAGAACGATCGCTGTAAAAAGTAGTGTCCCAGAAGTATGGACAAAATAAGTGAGGCGCTGCGATCGCTAAATTGTCTAAAAATTAACGCGTTAAGTCGTGCCCTCACCTATATTCAACGTCCATCAATGCGATAATTAACGGCATTTCTCGTTAGTGTGGCCCCAGCATAAGATTTTACAAAAATTATAAAATAAACAAGTCCAGAATTAATAAAATAATTATTAGATTTGTTTGATAATCAAATATGTTGACTTTTTTAAAATAATAAACTTTTCGTATTGTATTAAGTTACATAACACATATTTTTCTCTAAGTTTTCTCCCCTCTTTTTCTAAATTTTAATTTTTAGTTTAGAAGTGTCACAGATAAAATTGCGTGACTCCTATAAATTAAAGATAATAAAAATATAAACCTTCGTATTGCACCATCAGAAAGGTGAGATTATAACTGTCACCTAGGTCTTTATGAGCCTTTCCAAATGAGTTCAAAAATGATCATCCTATCTAGTGCCGTCAATGAGATCCTATACTCAACTTCGGAGTCCACCATTATCAGGTGGTGAAATCATCACAGGCACCTTGGTATTTAAATGAGTCTAAAAACGATGGTTCTACGTAGTAGTAATTGAGATCCTTTACCCAGATATTGAGTCCGCCATCAGGAATGTGAGATTAGTCAGTTATCTATGTCCTTATGAGCTCTTTCAAATGGGTCTAAACATAGGGGTTCTATGTAGTGCCGTCACTTAGATCCTAAACTTACATTCGAACTCCACCATAAGGAAGGTGAATTCATCACAGTTATCTAGGGTTTTATGAGTACCTTTCGAATGAGTCCAAACACAATGGGTCTATTGAGTGACGTCACTGAGGTGCTAAGCTCCCCTTTCGGAGTCCATCATAAACTGGGTGATATTATCACAGTTAAACTAAGTCAAAAAAAAGTTCGAATGAGTTTTAAAACGATGGCTCTACGTAGCATCACTGAGATCCTTTACCCACCTTCTGAGTCAATCATAAGGAAGATGAAATCATCACAGTCAACTTAGTCTCCATCCTCCGTCTAACGAAATTTTCTAAATATATAAAATAATAAAAAATCTAAACCGCATAGAAATAATGTAAGTAGCCACTAAGAAAGTAAGTACTTACCCGGAAATAAAACTGAACTGAATCCAGCGGTGTTTGTAAATATCTTTTAATGCTTCAGCAAATCTATCCCACCCTACTGGTTCACTTCTTTTTAAGGGTCTTAGTGAATCATTTATTAAATCAACAATATTACTTCCAGGAATTTTTCATTATCAATTATGACTGTACCTTCATTTCCCAATATATTTTACTTTTACTTGTTTCAACTAAGTTGAATAATAACTGTTTTTCGGTATTAAACTGAGTATCTGAGCTGGTGTGTAGTGGATTTTCATCATTTTCTTTACTTTTAATGGATCGATTCTCCTCCAACAAAGATTCAGCATCAACTGAAGTTTTTAGACCTCTATCTTTATTTTTAAAACCAATTTTAGACTTATTTGAATCTTCATTAGATGTATCAGAATAAATTGGTAATCTGAGTGGTTGACGACCCCCTTCGATAAAATGAAGGTATCTTTGCAGTGTTTGCAAATATAACATCCATTTCTTTCGGTCTTCCGTCTTACTATTCATATTATTTTGCATTTCAATATCTAATCGAGATAAATTACTATTAACCTTATTTTCTTGTTTTAATTTTTCAATCAATCCAGGTTCGACAAGTATTATTTTCTTTGCATTTTCCATGTTAACTGACTAGTCCACTCACTAATCCACTCAATATTGCACCTAATATTATTGGTAAGAAAGCACCTTCTTTTTGTATAATAATATTTTTTCTTAGTTTATGTTTACACTTACGCACTAGTTGACGGAGTATATTTTTGTGTTTATTCAATTTTTGTTTATCTTGATCTTTAAGAGGTACTTTTCCTTGTAAAACGTTATGAATACACTCACAAATACAGTTAATTTCTTCTTCATCACACGTTTTAAGTAATGCTCTTTGATATTTTGGTTTAAGCGTATACAAAGCGTTTAGCAAATGTTTATGCGTTGTGAGTCGACGATGCATCATTTAGCAATGATTTGAATTGTTTGATTCTTGGTGTATTTAAACTCTTTTGTGGGGACGTAGACTGTACAGAAACCATTAAATGGGAAGACATTTGTCTTGATACGACAAAAATCATTGGTATTCTGTTTTAAATCTATCATTAAAAATTCATATGCCTCTAGAGTTGCCGGTGACACTTGTAGTGCTAAATATCTTATTTGAGTTTTATCTCGAGGGTTTTTAAAATATATTAATATAACTTGAGTTTAAAGATATGTCTCTTTGCCCTTTACCCTGATGAAATAAATTTTGTGTTAAATAAAATACACTGAGATTCCTGTGATGACTACCTTTTGTAAATATATCCACAATTCTTCCATCGGACTCTCTCATTAGATCATCAATAATAACGAGATGTGGGTTTTCACCATCAAACATATTAAGATTTGGAATTCCTTGATGATGGTTAACATTTGGTAAATTATATAAAGGTTGCATTTCATCAAAGCACCATGTAATCTGATTAAAATCACAATTACATATTTCTGTAACTGATTTTATGAAATTTGTTACAAAATTTGACTTCCCATATCCACTTGGTCCTGCCACAATAGCAGTAAACGGATGTATAAAGTGAAACATTACACACGTCTAAAGTTCTAAGGGGTGAAATAAAAAATGAAAATGTTAGTGTAAACAATTAACATATATTGTGTACTATAACTAATGTTTTTAGAAAATCAAATAAAATTTATGATTAATTTAAAATTTTATTTTCAAGCAATAACCACTTGTAAAAAACCCCACTTCGTCACAAGAACAATGTAAAATTTTGTGATTATTTTTTGCAAATATATGATTATTACACATAACGTTTGTTTAAATTTATGACATTTACCAAATCATTGTATTTTGGAAATTTGTATTCTTCAATATTAAAAATTCTATCATTCGTCGTCAACATTTTTAAAAATTGTTTTTCTGTTGAACCACCTTTGTATGCGATCACTTCGTCTTTGCATAAATTTCTAATATATCAATTTAATATGGGAATGATGTTCTCTTGTTTGTAGGTACATTTTAACTCTTTGGGGCATGGTGGTCGATTTTTTTTACCACTTGGATCAAAATTTTATTTTATCGTCATCTAGCGTCAAACTGCAGAACTAGCTTCACAAACACAAGGCGAGGTGTTATCCTTTGTTTTTATTCATAGTTATGTGCTCTAAGTGGCGCTCGTTAGCAGTATTCGTGAATCGTAAAGTGTGCGACAACTTTTTCTGTTTTGCTGTGTATTTAGTTACGGTTATTTTTTGAAAATCATGGTAAGTTTGATTGTACTTTACTATTTTCTATTAGTTTACTGTGTTTTTACTATAGTAACAATAATTTTTATTGTAAGATAGATTATTTTCCCGCACTCGGAAGCAATTACTCTGTGGTTAGAATATTTACCACCGTGCAAGTAGTGCTATTTAAAGTGAAATAACTTTATTGATTTTCTTTTTTGTTTCTTTTGATTTATTAACTAATTTTATCATCTAAAATAATATTTTATGTTCTTTACAGAACTTAGAACGCGATGCGAATCTGATCATGTCAATCCTGGCAGATATACCTTCTGAAGGTTCCGGTATCTCTGAAGATGAAGATGAGGGGTCTCCTATTCAGATTCCCATAGTAGTTGCTGCAGAGATTGACGATGACGAAGATCCTGAATTTGACTTGCCTCTGTCAGATATCCAAACGTCAGCCAACCCATCTGATATAGTAGACGTACCAGCTCAAGAAGAAGTTTCGAACGAGGTTTCTAGTGGAGTCCAGTCACTATTGATGAAAACCAGTGTTCCTGGTAAGGTTTCATCCTCTCGAAGGACGAGGGATTTAGTAGTTGAGCCTGCTGATACTTAATCTATTCGAAATCTAGACAATATAGCTGAACCTAAGTGGAGACATAGGGTACGTGCTGCATCTCCACCAGAACAATTTAATACAGATACAAGCTTACCTACTCACATATCTCAACTGCAGGATCCAACACCTGCTACATTATTTAAATTGTTTTGGCCTGACAGTTTGTTAGAGCATTTAGTTTATCAAACAAATTTGTATGCCCAACAGGAGGGAAAGACATTTGCACCAGTAACTAGAGAAGAAATGAGTACTTTTTTTAGGTATAAACCTAAACATGGGTATTAAGAAACTGCCCGCCTATAGAGACTACTGGTCCTCGTGTCCTGATCTACATGATCCGTTTATTTCAAAGTTTATGCCTGTAAACCGATTTGGATGGTTACTCTCACATTTGCACGTAAATGATAATCAGTTTATTCCAGCAAGAAATAGCCCAAGTTATGACAAACTATATAGAGTTCGGCCTTTTCTAGATACATTAAAAACACATTTGAGAAAAATTATCGTCCTACCGAAAACATGGCTATAGATGAAAGCATGATAAAATTTAAAGGCAGAAGTTACCTCAAGCAGTACATGCCAAAGAAACCTGTAAAGCGGGGATATAAGGTGTGGATGTTGTGTGCGAGTTCAGGATATTGTCTAAAATTTGACGTTTATACCGGAAAGGCTGAAAAAGTTGAAAAGAATTTGGGCGCTAGAGTGGTGTTAGATTTCACACAAGATTTACAAAGTAAAACCTACAAGTTTTACTTCGACAACTATTTTAATAGTTATGTGTTACAACATGAACTTAAGTTGAGAAAAATAATGGCCTGTGGCACAGTAAATAATACAAGAAAGTTTTTACCGGAATTGAAAGAAGATAACGCTATGATAAGAGGTGATTTTGATTGGCGCATGAGTAATGAGAATATATTATATTTGAAGTGGAAGGATGATAGGACAGTATATTTCTTATCAAATATGCATGATCCAAATGATGTTGATATAGCCCAAAGAAGAGAAAAGGACGGCTCTTTTATAGACATACCTTGTCCTAAACTGCTGAAGGACTACAATTCAAATATGAATTTTGTGGATAAGTTCGACCAACTAAAAGAAAATTATGGTTTAGATAGGCGGTCTACTAAGTGATGGCACAGAATTTTCTTTTCATTTTTGGACTATTGTGTCGTCAATGCTTACATTGTGCATAAAGATCTAGTTGCATATAAAAATTTAGCAGAAAATACAAATTCAAAAATTATGACCCACAAACACTTCAGGAGAGAAATATATCTGGAACTTATGAAAGAGCCTGAAACCAGAAAACGAATATCAGAAGACCGTCTTCCTATTACAATTAAACGGCATAAACCTTATGTACCACACTTGGTACGCCTAGAAGGTAAAAAACATCAAGCAAGGTCTACTACTTCCCGTCGATACGCTTTGTGCAGCACAAAAGCAAAACCTGTAAGAACAGCTTGGTAATGTGACACTTGTATGGTTCCATTATGCATAAAATCAACCAAAAATTGTTTTGCTATATTTCATAAGAATAAATAGAGAGATTAAAATAAAATTGGCGTCTAAATTACTATTTGTTGTTGTTTTTTTAAATCTAATAACTTGCATGGTGGTAAGCACAGCGACCACCGTTTTCCTCAAAAGCCTTCGTAGCTAGATTTTTTATTTTATTTTTCTGATGATTTATGTGTCCACAGTAAGCTGTATTTACAAAAAAAAAATATTTTTTAAAAAAAAGTAGAACTTGTGCATCTAAGAGTTAATTCTTCGGTCACATCAAAATATGGAATGCCGTGCACGTGTGTTTCACAATAACGAACAGTTTTTTTGTCTTTTGGCGACAAATAATTGAAAGGATAATTTGGCCGAAACAAATAATGATCGATAAACGCATCATTTTTATTAGATAGTTTTACAACTAGAATAGCCATTTCTCTACATTGAAAATGTTTATGAGGATATGTAATGTAAAATCCGTCCATGTCGATGATGTATCTAATATTTTTAGATTTTGTGTCATTTTGAACCAAAATGTTAAAAGTATTTACACGTGACTTAAAATATGTTTGTTCCAACAAACTTCACATAACAATGCTTCATTACTTCCCATCATCCCATTTCTTCCTTCTGCTCTTGTCTTCCTGTATTTTAAGTAAACAGAATCACATTCACTTATGATCAACTAATGACTGTCATTGTTAAAAAAGTATTTTTTAACTACTCTAGTATTCGTAGATGCGGTACACACACAATATTTAAATATAATTTGTTAACACTAAATCATACACACGTAAGAAAATAACAGAAAGAAAAGTAAGTTTGTCAACAGAATAAACACTTAAAATTGCAATTAACAATTTAATTGGTGCCGGCGGGGATCGAACCTGGGTCGCGTACTGTGAAATTTACAGCTTGCGCTAACCATCTGAGCTACCACGGCTTAATCATATACACACACAATATTTAAATATAATTTGTTAAAACTAAATCATACACACGTAAGAAAAGTAAGTTTGTGAATAGAATAAACACTTATATCCATGGTCTTTGATGCGTTGAAGTAACACAAATGTAGTATTGATAGATCCACTGCGGTCAAATGACTATACACTAACTCCATGACTGCAGTTGCTTGGTTTTATATAGTACCAGTAAGTAATAATTCTAATCTAAAGAATTTCTGCAGTGGAATTGATAGTAACTTTATGCGTCAACAAGCTTATCTCACATTCTGTTGCTTATCTCAGCATTACTTCGTGTTGCGTCTTGTTCAGTGTATTGATGACTCAAATACGTTTTGTATAACACAAAATAATGCAATTTAATATTTAGAAATCACTATAATTGATTATTCCTATGTTAGTCATTGAGTAGATTGTACTGTAATAATCTACTAATAGCAGTAATATCATGGATACACTAGATGTATAACAACATCTGAAAAAGATTCACCCCAGTCTAGAAAATAATGTTTGTGCTGCTAATAGACTGCCCATGTACACCCACGTACCAACGTATATAATATGCAATTTGGATACAAATGATAAACCAGGGTCGCATTGGGTAGCTTTATATATCGATACGAATGACGTCGGTCAATATTTTGATTCATACGGATGAGCACCCGTACGATATCATCTAGAGTTTTTAAAAAGGAATTGTAAAAGATGGAACTGGAATGTTGATAGGATTCAGAATGAGTGGACTTCAGTTTGTGGAAAATATTGCTTAATGTATTTGCTATATAAGTTTCAGGGATGTTCAATGCATAGTTTCACGAGTAAATTTACAGGGAACACATTGTACAACTATATTTTAGTGGATGAGATGTTTCACTCCTATTTTATAGATAATAAGTAATAAGATTTTGTATTTCATAAATAAAAATTGTAACAAAATTAGGTAATGTATTTTATTGATGATTCAGATTAGCGTTGCAGTTAGGAACAAAGGACTATAATACAATAGCACTGATAAGCCGACGCACGAATAGACAATGACGGTGTTCAATCAACAATAGTTAAGAACAATGGGACGCTAATGACGGTGGAGGCCCTCACCGGATATCAATTAGATAAGAGTTAATTGATCTGCACATCTCCGGAACCGTGCATCCTACGCAAAAATGGACCGCAGATTCGTGATCAGATCATGCCAAAACCTTTTTATTTTTTTTTAGGAATATGAGTCTCGACGAACGTTGTACCACTTCTGAATCAGTGAGCCAGAACTGGTACTAACTAACTACTCATTGGCCATTATAATTTTCAATGGGTTTTGAAGACTGACAAGTAACTTTTCAAAGTACTTTTTAAAAACACCAAAATTCATTTCTTCATGGCAATCACTTGTAGATTTAGACACAAATCCGAGGTGGCAGTCCGGAATAAAATTCTTCATAAACTGCGACCGCTTGACATAAAATGAGGCGGGCACCTTTGCAAGATGGTAATTTCGAGGTGGAGGCTATTCGGTCTTCGCCTGGGAAACTATGGTTTGTATTTAACCATGTCTCTCGGCCCTCCGTTTCATTTTTCAAACTGACAAAAGGCAATAAAGACGATCCATGACCTCTTGCATCCAATCATAACCTTGATCAAGGCTGGGAGCTTGCTATTGTTATCCACTACACTCCCAATCTCTTAGGGTAAGCTGTGACTGTTCTGTTGCAAACAGAGAGGTGGCACTCGGCTGTCGGCTCTCCTTCGGTTCTATTGTACAGATAATGTTAATGACACGTGCCGACTGTTCATCCAGTCAGTCATAGGCCCGACTCGTTAGAGTGCAGTTCTTTTTCCTGCTCTCGGATGGGCCGGTTGCTCTTTCCACTTTTCAAGCATAAACTGCCGAGCGTGTCATCTCCGCATTTTCCCCACTTTCTAAGAAGGATGATACCTTTGTAGGAGTTGGAAGAGGAAGCATGGGTGCACAAAACTTCACCTTCAAGTTCCAGGAATGAGAGCCTACCAATACACTCGCCGCTTTAGGAGAGATTGAGAGTGCAGTATTCCCAACTGTCATCGCCTTTCAGCTCGTTTTAGGAAATTCAATGGTTCTTTCTGCCAGAGCGCCGAACTAAAGGAGTCTCTTATTTCTTTTTTCACCTGATGGTAGGTGACCACCGCTTCCTATGAATAACTGCAACACCAGAGCGCGGTGTCGATCTTTAAAAAGGAGTAAGCTTTTTTTCTCCTTTTGTTATATCAGCCCGGAAAAATTACTGGTGTGAGCTGATTCCACAAACAGGTCATGCGAAGGTGAAAACTTTTGGTAAACTTTTGTATTATTTGGCATAAAAAATGATTTTTTTTAAATTTAGTTTTGTAAATGTAAAATTGTCACAAACACTGTCTAACATTAGGAACTCCTTAAAATATCTCTTACACCATTACACGGCACTATATTATGGCTACAGTATCTTCGTCGGCTTAGCAGGAGGTGGCAACCGCAGTTTTATATTATTTAGGGTTGTGTCAGGAAGTTGCTGCTGTCCATTTTCAGGGGCAACATGAGATATCCTCGGGATAACATGAGATAGATGTAGGGCTGCCATCCGTCCGAGTTTCCCCGGATTTGTCCTAGTTTGAAAGACGTCCGGGGAGCGTCCGGGCGGGGTTTAAATTGCAGCTTACAGCTTCATCTGTCCGGGCTCCCCTGAGAAATTGCAGTCTGGGAGCAACCCGAACTACAATAAAAGTCCGGGTTTTCGATCAGATCCCATTTAATTTTACTAACTGAGTAACTAACATTGGGTTTGTTTATCTTTTATTTAATACCTAAGAAGGTTAAAATATAAAACAAAATTACTCACTTGTCGTCACAAGAACAATTAAACACACAATTTCATGCGACAAAAGAGGCTTAAAATTAAAGTTTTCTTCTATCAAGTACGGAGTAAAATATATTTTAATCAAGATGTAAGTGAATGAAAAAAGTATTGAAATGTCCGGGGTGAAAGCTCCAAAATCCGGGGAACTTACGCTTCCGGTCCTGGGGAGTAAGTTTTAGAGATGGCAGCCCTAGATAGGGGACGCTACAACTACACGGCAATATCTAAAAAAATACGTATCTTGAAACCCTATAGGTACAAATTCCATATTATATAAGGATTAAAAGCCGATGATAGGGAGAGGGGCGCATCGTAATTCCGACAGCCTTCTCAACCCACAGCCTCACAATCCCGATAGAGTTGCTGATGATTCCTATTTAATGTTGTCATTAGACTGCAAATATAGATTAGCTATAATATTTTTAAGTAAGCCTAAGTACTAATTTAGGATACCATGCGCCCCATAGGAGACATCAATGGTCGCGTATTTTATTTGTCAATAATGTGTATTACAAAGTAACAATGGAACATGGTAAAGTCTTGTTAGCCACCGATACTCTGTCATCATTGATGATGATTGCTTTTACTTTAATAGATTTATTCGATAAGTGTTTTCATAAAAATACTGACGGATATTGCAAACTTTCTCAAAACCAACATAAGTGTAACAGAGACCATTTTTTGCGTACTATTTTTTTATTATAAGCACCCAGGTGTGTTACAGTATACACAATTTTAACTTCGCTTAAGACGATCAACAAAAGAGACCACACATCACAATGCGACCCGTTTACCG